TATTTTTTCGAATCTGCATGAATCACGATACTATACTGTTACATGCTACTCTCTCATACACTAATATCCCACTTCAGGGCTGCGTTCGGATCCTCACCTGGATGCTTTCTTTCTCTCTTTATCTCACTCTTGTATCTCTTTCACTCCAATGCAGCAAGTTCACTCGGATGGAGAATCGGAACGCAGCCCTGTACTTTAGTAAACTTGACGAGATCGCAATAATGCACGCATGATTTTGTAACCTTAAGTACATTTTACATCGAAGTAAATACGAGCAACGTCATGAACGCAACAGCTGAGATTCCGACCAATAAGACCCGAATTCATTCGCATACACTTGACCGGAAAAAAGATCCGGTTGAGGAATTACTATGGCTGCGTTCAACAAAGAAAGCAGATCAGTGATTCTTTATTATGATTGGTTTCTACACTTCCATTCAACGAAGATCTAAAAGCAAGGATCTATGTTAGTGTCGGTCCACAATAAGTATTTAATCTTTAAGCCGTAAGAAATTGACCAATCATAGTCGATTATTCTTTTCATATTCGATTATAATTGGTCAATTTCTTACTTCTTAAATCACCTATTGTGGACCGACACTAAGGGGATCCTAAAGTCTGTTCTATTTTATCGACCAAATCGATTAATTTTCCGGCATGCTAATTTCCTAATTACATTTGTAGATTTAAAAATTCTTTTCCACAATTAAAATATACGCACCTCTATAAGTCATACCGGTCGACTTTATACTGAGAACGAAAAAAATTTAAGAAATTTCGATCTTTTTTACCGACTCTTAGTTCAATATGAAATCAAGAGCTGTCGACAATATTTGCGAATATTTGCGAATATAAAAATTTGATAACCTATTTATACAAAATGAGACTGGTAGGAAGTGCGAATTACATGCAGGAACAATGTAGAGTTTTTACAATTAGGCTTGAAAACGTGATATAAAAGATTAGCGTGCCTGAAAATTTGTTCATATGTGTATTATGTGTGTACAAATGTATGATGAGTATATGTATACATAAATATATCTATGTATGTAGATGACATGTGTAAACGTTTTCATCGTTTTCGCTCGTTAGTTTAGCATCCCCTTAAATCGTTTGTATTTTGTTTGAAGAGTTTTGAAGTGCAATTGAAAAGATTTGTGAGTCATTCAGTCAATTGTAATTAATTATTTTTTTTTCACTATGGATTTGGCTGGATTAATTAGCCGGAGATAAATGACAAAACAATGATTTTGTATCGTTTGTATTTTGTATAAAGAATTATGAAGTGTCATTAAAAACGTTTGTGAGTCATCCAGATAATTGTAATTAAATATTTAAAAATCATGTAATTGACCGAAATATAGATTTTAGTCTAGTTTCGCCAAACGCCATCGGTAGTTCCTCTAGTATTTCGAAACTTCTGGTTCTTTTCAACTATATTCAATTTCATTCATAACAATAATGAATGAAATTGAATATAATTGAATATAAGATAAGGCTCCCGATAAAAGAATATAAGAATAATGTATAATGAAAGCACAGCGCAGTACAAAGAGCGCGTAAAATTTAATAATAATCAATGTAACATAATCAAAGTAACATAAAGCGGACGTTTCGGCTGATCTTTCAACCTTCCTCAGCACAAGAGATAAAAATACAAATAAATCTACTTAGACGGTGAACGAATCGCAAATTCATAATCAATGTAGCAGCAAACATCGAAACAGCGAAATTCATAACGCCGATCGTCTCTCAAAATACGATGCATCTTCAAGAACAGTTATAGTAGTTGTTAGGATGACCTGCTCAATTACATGGTCGAAAGTTGAGAAATCCCAGATTGTACAGAGCATGATGTTATGATGCATTTGTACGCCTGTAAATGATCGGCGTGGTTCATATACGAGACGATGTGAGAGAATGCGCAGATATATAAAAAAATTTAAAAAATAACTTACACATAAATTTAGAGCCGACGACGCGAATAGAAAATTCACATTCGGGCGCAACGGGACTTAGGCGGTCAGATAAATGAAGCGGTCGCAATGCCGTGACACAAGTAATTGTTGTTAACCGAGATAGCAAGATTCGAACGCAAACAATTTCGGAAAGGCTGACAAAAACGGTCGAAAGATAATAATATATTTATGGAAATAGATTAATATACATAATAAAAATGATGAATAAAAACGAAAACAACCGAGAACAAAATTTGGTTATGAGTGCATTGTTGCACTAAAATTAGATCAAAATAAAGTCGTTGCAGATAAAATACATGTATCCACAATAGGAAAATAAAGGAGTGATAAGTTAAAAAAATATATAAAGAGTGTGAAACATAAAACATGTAAAACACAAAACCATATGAAAATAAAAATAAAAATAAAATAACGTTGAATCAAATTTTGGAGAGCTTTTCTATTGCAGTCACATATACTTCCGGGAGGCACTCAGTATCAGTCTGCAAATTGATACTGTTCTTTTATCTTTTAATGTGTAAAATTTCAGAGATTAGTCGTTTGTGTCTCTCTTGTGTCTCTCAAATGTGGCTCTCCGTCTAAAATCTCAACATTCTCCCAATTGAAATCGTGGTTGTATGCTAGCCTGTGATCAGTGATCACGAAGTGATTATTCGTATTCTTCCGAATATGGTTCTTGTGTTCAGAGATCCTAGTATGTAATTGTCTTTTAGTCTGTCCTACGTATGACGCGTCACAATTATCGCAATTGATTTTATAGACAACATTAATGTGAATAGATGGAGCACGAGAATCTTTGTGAACTTTAATAAAATTATTCAATTTATTGAGACTGCGATATGCTAGTTTGACATTTAAGTCTTTAGTAATGTTCTTAAATTGTTCCGAAATTGCAGGAGCGTACGGTATGGTAAAGAACGAAATTCTCTCCAGTTCTTCAAAATGCTCAGTGTTGTCAGAATTGGAATTGATCTTATGGAAAAGGAACTTAAGACGTTCGTGTAGGACCTGAAATACGAAATCTAGTGGATAGCCATTGTCCAGTAAAATCTCAACCACAAAATTTAAGTTTTTCCGGTAGAAAGTCGGGTGTGATAATAAAATAACTCTATCAATTAAGCCAATGGCTGTGCCTCTTTTTTGGCATAGAAGGTGGTTAGAGAGGAAATGTAAATATCTCCCCGAGAACGTTGGTTTATGATATCAGTCGAAAGTCAACTGATTATCGGCTAAGATTATGGTAACGTCTAGGAAATTGAGCCTATGTCTCACACCGATTTCCATTGTGAATTGTAAACGAGGGTGGAAGAAATTAAAAATGTTCAGAATATGATTGAGAAGATCAGAGGGGGCTGCCAAAGCAATGTCATCCACATACCTAACGAAAAATGGAGGGGTGAAAGATAAGGATTTGAGAACTTTAGTTTCCAAGTCTTGCAGTACTATGTCTGCAATGGATGAGAGGGGGGATCCCATGGGCGTGCCAAATGTCTGTTGATAAAATACTCCGTTGAAGGTGAAATAAGTAGAGTTTAATATGAATCTGACTATCGTGATAAATTCGAATTTGAAAATGGAACAATTATCAGAAATGTAATCCCATCTAGCAGAGACACTTTCAATGGCCAATGCAATTGGCACATTGGTAAACAGCGAAATGACATCTAAAGCCAGCAGTACACGATGCTTTTTTTTCCTGCTGGTTTGCTAGCTGAATTTGCGTGCTTGCTGAGCTCTTATCTTTGATTGGTATATTCTTTTAGATCTAAAAAAATATACCAATCGAAGACAAGAGTTCAGCAAACACGCGAATCCAGCTAGCAAACCAGCAGAAAAAAAAGCATTGTGTGCCGCTGGCTTAAGGAAACCAAAGAAGAGTCATTGTCAATGTGTATGTCAGAAAGTCTTTTGACCAATTCGAAATTATTATTGATGTAGCTATGTGTAACAGGAAAGTTTTTGAGCATGATGCAATGGATGAAAGTGGCTAAATTATACAAAGGGCTGTTAAGGGAAGAAACAATGAGTCGAAAAGGACAATTGGATTTACGGATCTTAGAAAGTTCGTAAGCTCTCGGTAAAATCTCATCGCTATACAGTAAATGTCTGTAGATAGAGGTTGAAATGAACTCGGAATCCTTCCACCTCTTTAATAAATCTCGCAGACAAGAAGTGAACTTTTTTGTTGGATCTTTTTTAACGACAGAATAAGTGTTATTATCATTTAAAAGTTCTTCAATTTTTCTGAAATACACATCTTTGTCCAAAGCTACAGTAATGTTTCCCTTATCCGCACGGGTGACAATGAGATTGTTGTTATGTTGTAAGAAATTTCTAGTAGTAGAAACGAGATCTTTTAAGTGTGTGTTAACTTCACATTTAGGGATCGAATAATTAGGTAGATTGTTAATAATGATAACTGGCGGTTTCTAATGGTCATTTGTGATATAGGGAGTTTCATAAGATTGCTCTCGATATTTTTTATGAATCTGTCAGTTTTTCCCTATTATTAATAGGAAAATTAAAATTGTCATCCAATTGTAAGAGACTCTGTATGTTAGTAGAATGCATAGGAATGGAGGACAGGTTGACAAACCATTTTTTATTAATGTATAACAATGGATGCTGTTCATTCTGCTTGAACGTGTGTGGATCGATCACGATCTCCAAGTCAAGATTCTGTGCGTTTATTGGAAAAATTAGTGGTTTAAAATAAAAACGACATCCTCCAGCAAAGGAGTATGGGTGAATGGAGTGACTGTAGAAGTAATGGATCGGTTTTGTTGGTCATTCTTTTTAAACTCTATGTTTCAATAATGAATGAGTTTTGCCGAATTTTTCGGACAGGATAAACATATTTCTTGTAATATTGTGTATTCTTTTTTACACAATACAGCCTACAGCCATTTTTTTTTAAATCATGTTATTATCTGTCTGCCTTTTGGATTTTGCAAAACTCTTGTGGAAATTTACTTTTGTGGAAAGTTGTAAACTCATGTGGAATCGAACAATTATAGACCTTGTTTTAAAACAAAATTTATAATTATGCAATTTCATAAAAATTTAAAAAACCGCTCTAATGCAGAGCGATTGAAACGCATGCGCATGTGATCACAGCGCATGCCCATGTCGATACATTTCATTGGTAGGTACGATCAAGAGCTTACTACAAATGCTTTGAAGCATTTTTTGATTGGTGAATTAGTAAAATTCTTTGTTTTGATTGGACAATCAAATGCTTCGAAGCATTTAGTAGTGTTACATTGATCGTAGCTGATACGACAGGTTTTCTAACCCTGAATAACGCAAACTTTAACGATTCGCGGGACAGAGCGACACTTTTTTGCCAGATTCTTTCATTTTGTGCAAAAACGCGTCGAATAAACCTACTTTTATCAAAATCGGAGGTGGGCCACCTAAACTAAACATTTATCCAAAATTATACGAATGCTCTTTTTATTTCCTTGATCGATTTTCTTCGCATCGGTGATAGATAATCGTTTATTACATCGCTTATTACATTTATGATCTATTTCCAATTTAAATAATTCTAGCAGATATTTCTGTATTGGTATCCCTGCGCCATATAACTCGCGTGTCGAGCATATTCGTAGAAGAGTTTCTGGTTACCATTTTACAAATGGCGACCTACGGTAAGACACGCTGCGCTATATAACCCGAGAGACCAAGTCCGGCTCATATTTATCGCGTAAAGAAACGTTGAAGTGATCGGCACGGCGCGTCCGGTCGAAAAAGTGATCGAAAAGAGATCCTCGACGTGTAACAGATTTAACAATCTTGTGCTAACAAATCCGTAATAATGGGAAACGTGATGGCCACCTCCGCACCTCCTCCACCACCACCTCCTTCGCCACCGGGTCCTGGATTAATGCCGAATTTAGGGAAACCGGATCCGTCCACGGATGTCTACGCGTCTGCTGAAACATCAGCCCAGATTGAGAATCCGGGCACCATCGAGGATTTGCACAAGAAGTGTAAAGGTACTTCGTCAAAACGCACGTCACGAGTCACGGATGCTTCTTGTGCTCTTTTTGAATCGATTCTCGCGTTTTTCCGTTTTATCACAGAAAATTTTTTGCTAGATTATTTCCTTGATAATGAATCATTAATATGTGATTTTTCCTTCTTGAATAGCTTTCCTTCTTAGATAGTTTGGTCTTGGTATATTTATTATGTTTTATTATAATTTATGTTTTTTATATCTATATTTTTTAAGCCATTTGCTTGTTTTGCTATTTTGTTAATAAGTTTCTAGCTATTTTGTTAATAAATTATAATTCTTATATTATAATTTATATTATATAAAAATTGATTTTTAGCTTTTATATTTTTCAGATATATTTCCTATAAATTTTGAAGGAGCCAAATTGGTAGTCAATAAAGGATTGAGCAATCATTTTCACATTTCACATACTATTAACATGAGTTCTGTAGTACAATCTGGTTACAGGTAAATTAGTATACCTGAAAATATCTGCTTTTATAATTTTACAATTTGTTTTTATAACAATTTGTTTGTAAACCTATATTATTTTTTTTTTAGATTTGGTGCGACTTATGTTGGTACGAAGCAAATTTCACCTACAGAAGCATATCCTGTATTATTAGGTGATATTGATCCAAGTGGAAATCTTAATGCCAATATTCTTCATCAGCTTGGTTCAAGGCTCAAAGGAAAATTAGCAGCGCAAGTGCAAAGAAGTAAATTTACTGCTGTACAAATGACTGCTGATTATCGAGGAGATGCTTATACTTGTTCACTAACCCTAGGCAATCCAGATATTCTTAATTGTTCTGGTAAGATGATGTAAAAATATAAAAAATTACTTACATTTGTGTGTATGTATGTATGTGTAAAACATGTATTAATTATGTTTATTCATAAATATGTTTCAGGTGTTCTCGTTTTACATTATCTTCAAAGTTTGACACCATCGCTTGCATTGGGTGGTGAACTCGCATATCAACGTGGACCTGGCTTACCAGGAGGACAAATTGCATTATTATCTGTTGCAGGAAGATATACAAATGGTGATTCTACATTCAGTGGTAGCATTAGTAAGTAATTACTTATTTTTTTTCTTTTTTTCAATAAACTTGTATGATTTCTTTGTTTTTTAAATATAATTTCTCTCCAAGGTCCATCCGCTTGCCACCTTTGTTTCCATCAAAAAGCTAGTCAACAGTTACAAGTGGGTGTAGAGTTAGAAATAAATGCGCGAATGCAGGAATCGACAGCAACAATCGCCTATCAAGTTGATTTACCTAAAGCAGATTTAGTGTTTAAAGGTTTGTCTTCAAGATATTATCTTGATGAGAAATGTTATAATTTTATTTGATTTTTTAATCTATTTGTTTCATCGTATATTGCAGGTAGTGTAGATACAACTTGGACGGTAGGAGCAGTCTTAGAAAAAAGATTACAACCATTGCCATTCTCATTCGCGCTTAGTGGTATGATCAATCACAGCAAGCAACAGTTTAGATTAGGTTGTGGCTTAATCATCGGTTAAAAATGATGTGGTTATGCAATTTGCAAATCCAGAGGGAATCGAGGACTACGCTTTACGCGTGCAGTCAGACAGTCATGTAATATTAGGATTTACAATGCTATATCGATTCTTTGCTGACTTTAATAATCTGGGCGTATTATTTTGTTAAAAATACAACTCATGTGTTAAATAATCTTGTTAATTTAATTAAAAGATCTACGGACTTCCGGACCGGATTTCTCGTTTTAATACACACTATCTACGGCTTTTTTTATTTCTACTTATAATGATATATTCATTGTGTAACGTTTTTTTTTTAATAGATGTTTTTTCCATAATAAAATTATGAAAAAATTAGATTTTTTTCGCGAACGGAATATTGTGACACTGTATTTAGCATGATAAAATTAATGTTTGATTTTTTATATCATCATTTTAAAAGCAGGTGAAAACAAATATATTAATTTTTTATTGTCGGATATTAAAACTAACAATCAAGTTACAAACTATAAGTGAAATTTATTTGCATAATTAAAACTAAAATTTTAAAGAATAATTGTTTAAATTTAGTAGTTTATTATATTTATTTTATTAATAATGTAATTATGAATATCCCAAAATCAAAAATATAACAATATATTACTGAGTAGAAATATTGAATTAAATTTGCTGTGTAAATTTGCTGTTTTCAGAATGATATATTGATCAGTTTCCTCGGATTTTCTGTGTATAACGATAATAGATAAAATATGTACATGATTTTAGTCTTAATCTCTCATCATATGTAACTTTAGCATTTATTTGAATATAATAATATTCTTTGTTACAAATGCAATGCATTTATCATATAAATCATGTAAAGACAATTCTATATTTTATATATTATTTATATATATAAATTATTGAATGTGTTCATTAATTGATTTGATACATGACACATGTTGAAAATTTACAATTTATAGAACGCAAATAGTTTATGAACATCCGTGTTCATGTATTTAAAGTTTTAATCCATTAACTATTGTTGAAAAAAAACTATTGTAAATATGTCACATATGCAATACGACAAAATGTTAAGTGCCACAATTAAAACAATATATAATGATTAAAAGATAATACATCCGTTTTATATTAATAAAATCATGCACAGATGTATCGCGAATTATGAGCGAGCGTGTAATATTCGTAAAATGGTAGTAAAATTTGCTACAACACATTCTCGCGTTAGCTATTTTTGTGGATGATATAAAACTTTTTCGACAAAGAATTTGTTTAAAAAGAAGAGTATAAATGGGAGGTGGTGAACAATTTTCATGCGGCATGAAGATGTGGCAGCACGTGCGGAGAGATCCACGTTTCCTTATTCTTTAATCTGTTTGTACACGATTTTATTGTAAGTACGACAGAATAAAGTTGTATACTGTACTGTTGAATAAAACCAGTGTTGGCAAAATATCCCTTGCTATTCTCTAGAGATAAAAAAGAATATTTTTCTATAAATGTGTAACGCGTGTTTTATTCTTGCTTGAATAAATCGAGTTCTTGAGGTCAGAACATGCAGCTGCGAGTTCACTTCCCGGAGAAAACAATAAGCAATTAGCGCCCGGATCATTAAAAGCTCATAGCGAACCGTATATACGATGTGCGTGTGAAACATAAACGGTCAAACTCGGCAAGCAAATCGAAGTTAGTTCGCAAATGTTATCCATGTTTTTAACCATAAATACATATGTTAATATACCATTCTACATTTTCTCTACTTGTAAGAGTAAATATTTTGAGATGTTGATATTGTGATAAGATTAAGAGAAAGAATATAAATTTATATGCAACTTTTTTCCATAAATGTTTTCCTCGTATTGTTACGAAAATATTTATATAGAATGTATAAATACCAATTTGTGAAGCTTGATCGAGGCATTTTTTATATTTAAATTTTATGTATTTATTTATAAATCTTTATATCAAATATCGACTAGCATCATTTATCATTATTTACGAATTCTAATCGCTTGTGTATTTCAAATTCTCGTCATCTCAATTTCGAAATATTTCAACTTCCCGTGTCCTCTCGAGATGCTACGACAGTTTCTGCGGAATATCGGTTTAAAAACAATGCGAGATCGTACAATTAACGGTGGATTTTATCCGTTAAAAATTTAGTGAGTTTAGTTTTTGTCGGGAGTGCCAATTGATCTGAACAAGCGATCTTCGGAATATATCGGTATACCGTGGATGTTTATGATCGTATCGTTTCGTTAATTGTTTTTGACAGTGCATCGAGCATTGAGATTTGGAGTCATAAGCTCAATCGGCAATTCATTAAAGAACTTGTAGTTTGTCCAAAGATTAGAGATTATTTTAATTAATATCCTATTATTATGTTATACCTAATGAAAAATTCACCATTAAATACATTATATTGCATTAATACAATAGTACAATCGTCGAATATGCAACAATTTTATCAAGTGAACTTCAGGTCAACTATAGCATTTGGTGTAAATGTGCGACAGTTTCGTCAAATAAACTTCGTGTGATCATATAGATACAATATTCCGTGTCGGTAAAAATGGCATGTGATTGTAGCATCAAATAAATTTCATATATATCGCATATTATCGCATGGTAATATCAGTCGTATATATTTCAACAAATACTGCTAATATCTAATAGATTTTCTAGAGATTTTTTTGAAATATATGAGTTGATTGATATATTCATGTATATGATTACTGACATATGATTTATATACGTAGTAATTGGCAACGATCATGATTATTTTCTTTAACCGCGATCTTTGCTTTCAGTTAATTATGTGATTGTTTTATTGTAGTAGAAGCATGAAATTACCGTAGTGATGTTACGATTAGTTGACTTTACAAGATTACATGAATTAATTACCACGATAGTAATTGGCAATGATTGTGATTATTTCCTCTTTTGCCGTGATTTGCTTATATAGTTGCTCGCTTAAATTAAAAACATGAAATTGCTTTATGTAATATTGTGATTGCTATGTTTACAAATTATGTGTGCAAGTTAATTCAATATGTAGATCAAAAATGAAAGATTATTATCATAAATAATATTGTAGACGCTGAATGACGGGTGTGAAAGAATCATTCGTCTCGTCAAGTCCGAATTTCGACCTAAAATTATCAATTTTCATATAATATCAGAAATGCCAGGTGAAAGTCTCGGGCGATCTTCATATTACATTTATATGTAATCAGAAGTAAATTTTTGACACTTATGACATTTTGACACCATTGGATTTCGAGGCTTTAGACATATGCTTATTGCATCTAATGGAAAATTTTCTTATTAGTTTAAAGTAGAATATGTAAAATATCTTAACGTAATTAACATTCGCGTGTGTATAAAACATCATGTATGGCCAATAATAATCAATTGACGGATGAATGAATAAATGAATGAATGATCGATTAACCATAAGAACGGACGAATGAATGGATAGGTTTGTCCTTGACAGCCGAGTATCTGTAACCTGGCACTCTCGAAACAGTCGCCGTTTGCTTATGCTTTAGCTTCGCCGACCCTGTAAACATTCTTCTCCCCTTTTATGTGCCACGAGCTCCGTGTGCTATATAGTATTCTTATAATTTTGATATATTATTTTTTTCTTAAAGAATTCTTGAAGGTAAAATCTATAAAGAATATTAAAATATAAAAAAAAATTATATAAGTTATATTAGCACATAAATAAATATATAAATATCTTTAATATATGTATATGTACATATATATATTTCCAAAAAGGTATATCACAAAATATTCTAATATCTTAAGCGATAATAAGTTTTATCGTTGAAATCTTTTTTTATGTAATATCTATATCTGTGTAATATCTATATCTTCTCGATTCTAAAGTTTATACTTAGAAATTTGAACGTGTCGTAATAAAAAAATATTTGATTGTAAATATGAGTAATATTGAATAAGTCGATCCAAAAACATGGTTGACATTCTGGTAAAATTGCGAGACGATACAGCTAATAGGAAAACGCAATAAAATTACGTTCCCGCGTGCATAAATTCCAGCGGGTCACAAATGTATATAGCGCGAAACACATAGGAGCTGGCCTCGACGCGCCCGGAAAGAAAGAAGGGGTAAGAGGTGGTCACTAGAGCCAGCCCCCCTCGTACTGATAAGGAAACGTTGCGCGTAGATGGGATAGAATCGCGCGATAATAACCAGCGGCCGCGCCGCGTGGCGATTTTACTACTCCCATACTTTTCGCTAGCATGATTCGCGTTGCTCCTACCACTGCAGCTTCGACACAACGCACCGACTCTCCCCTCTCGAATCGCCACTCGGCTTGCGATTACTGCTCGAATTGGTCGTTCTCTCTCTCTCTCTCTCTCTCTCTCTCTCTCTCTCTCTCTCTCTCTCTCTCTCTCTCTCTCTCTCTCTCTCCTCTCTCTCTCTCCTGCTCTCTCTCGTCTCTTCTCTCTCTCCTCTACCCTCCCCTCCTCTCTCTCTCTCTCTCCTTTTCCATTCTTTTACCTATTCCTTCCTCTCTATCTTCCTCCTCCCCCTTTCTCCTTCTCTCCTTTCATACTTTTCATCTCGTTCCTGTTCCTTACTCCTCTAGCCTATTCGTCCCCCTCTTCGTCTTTCCTTGTCTGTGCGTTGATTCTCGCGGTATCTTCGTCTCGCCTTCACGTCCACTCGAGCTCGCTAGCAAACTCGCATCGCCACGGCCATCCGCGACACCGCAATTGCTCGTTCGCGTTTTCCATCTCTCTCATACATTCTTTCCCTTTCTCTTTTCCTCTTTTGTTTTACCGTCTTTTCCAACTCTGTTCTTCTACCTCTCGCTCCATCTCTCTTCCTCCTCTTGCTCCGTTTGCTCTATGTACATAATATACACGAGCCTCGCTCCCGATCATAGAGCAGTGGCGCGAGTTCTCGTACAGCCAGCAAAAGACCGGATCTCTTAATTTTCATCTAGTCGCCGATCGGTGTACACATAGCATCGATCACTCTCCCGATTTTCCATGGAAACGAAAGGATAACACGCGATCCTTCCTTAGGTGAGGATGTCATAGTTGCAGCCACCCTCGAGTCGAGTAAAGTGCCAAGTTTCTTTTTATAGTGCGAATTCCAGATAGAAAAGCAGCTATAAAAGCGAGAAGCGAAAACGCAACAGGGGACAAACATCCGAAGTAAAGTGACCTGAAGAAAATTACAAGGATAATCACGAGATGAAAAGGAGAAGTGACGACGATGGTAAACCCGTGGCCAAGTATCGACATCGAGAGTACGGTGAGTACCACTTGTGCACCTTTCGCGATTTCGCGTTTTCAAAAAATTGATGAATCGAAAATTGATGATTGACGATTGATGACTTTGATCAGTCCGAAGAAAGAATCTTTAGATCGAGCGAATGATCGAATGTGATGTTTGCCGCGTGCGACCGATCGATCCTAGGCGATCGTAGGCAAGCATCTTCGAAATGTGCCCCGAGATGTCGAATACGTTTAACAATAAGAGAGCATGTACACCGTGTGTCACTAAAGCGCTCAACTGAGTCGGTGGTCCGCGAGTCACTGGAGGCCAGAGGCCGGTCATGAAGGATGTATATATGTTGGATATCAGAGTGATAACGCTGCCCCTGGTTTTGCGATAACGCCCGCCGGTATATTCACACTACTGGCTGGTACAGCCACCAGTTGCATCCGATGCGAATGTCCTTTCGACACTTTTCGACGTTACGCTAATAAGGAAAATTTCCAATATACGTGGTATTCCGCGTGATATTATTTAGTGATATTATTTAGTGATACTATTCCACTATTGTGGAAAAATGTAAAAGAAAAGAATTAACTCAACTTATATTAACGTTAAATTTAACAGCAATGCTTGATATTCGAATATCAAACATTTTTATACCTAGATTTCTACATCTTAAATTACATGTGTTTAGTTACAAAATTTTATATCTTAAATATTATTAGATAGACGAATATTATTAGAGAGACGAGAGTGTGCAAAGATGATAAGATAGTAAATAAAGAACCGTATTAGGGCTTCAGGCTAGATCTAGAATTAAAATACATCTAGAATTAAAAAATGCGCTTTTGTATACACATATAACACTATTTAATGATTTGCAGAAAAAAAAAATAATCAGCGACATGTTTTCCTTTAGTTATTTTGGAATAACATTCTTTCCAAAATATAATTAATTCTTTATATTTAGTTATGTGCGGGTTTATTTAATTAAACAGAATAGAAATGTATTTCAAAATATGTATTTAATAGTATGGTTTAATTGCCTTTGTGAAAGATTTTTGAACGTTCTAAAAAAGCACATCTTTCTTCCAAATTTATCTTAATCTGATCATGCTGCTTAATCGTCAAAGATATTCTATCTTTGATGAATTAAAATGGTTTAATATATTTTTACGTTTCATTTAATATGTTACGTTTTATTATTATTATAATAATTATTGAAAGAATCATACCTTTTTTTAAATAATTTAGAACGATAATAGTTATTAAGTATTTTTTATATATGCTGATACGCGGACCCCGTTTATGATCAACTGCACTTATTTGCGGTTTGTGGTGGATAATTATGTCAGGTAATGCTTCACTATCGATTATATCGCAATACCGCAATTATTAATAGAGATAGAAAGCCGCAGCTTTTGAATTAACGATACGAATGAACGCTCATGATGCTGATTATAAAATGTAATACTTTAATTATCTCGAAGAAAATAAGTTTGCATGTATCTCGTGTATATATCATTTTACTAGAGTATTTCAAAGACAATGCTTTATTTATTATCCAACTTTGAAAAAATAGGAAGTTATAGTTTATCTCGATATTTCGGTAACAATAAGTCACAAAAAGTTGTTTATTATTTTATTTTGTGCCAATATAAGCGCATCGCTGGCACCTATAACGGTCACTTTGACTATTCCCTCGAATGGTTGAATTTTATCGGTTCGATCGTCAGGGTCGCCATTATTTCTATTTAAACACTTGCTCGCTGCGTCACATGTCTCCTGAGTCACTCCAACGCGTGTCATTTCGTGATGTTTGAAGACGAGTTCGTTCCCGTCGATTGCTTTTTGATTAAGATGAATTTATTTCTCATTTATTGATATATCCGTCGCCTATTATTTTATTCAAATTTAAAATAAATATAGAGATATAAAAATGAGATAGAAGAATACCTAAAATTTTTCTTAACTGGCTTTCCTATATAT